AATTCTTGGTATGATACTCTCTAGAATTTATTTACGGATATAAACTCTACTTTTTTTTCTGGAAATAATCACTAGAGAGCCATGAAACTGGGTAAAGGAAGCATGTTGTTATTTTTTTTATTTCCATTTTGTTCTCTTTCTACATTAAAAAAAATGCAACTCGAACTACTAGAATTTTTAAATTAGCATAACTTACCCAGTGAAATCATCCTTTTCTACCCTTTGTAAGATTTATTAATAGTTAATGTAAATTTTTAATTTGATAACTGCCCATCAGGAGCCAGGAAAAGGATCCCTCTCCTACTCTGAGGCCTTCCTCCCTGTGACAGGGTCACTGACCTTCCAAACAGAAACATGCCTGCAGGTAGAACAGGATTAACTACACAGGGTGAACCGGCATGCCCATGAGGCTCCCGGGCACTCAGGGAAGTCGGGCTTGTCGTTATCTGCAGGTAGGATAATAATCTTTCTGATTTTTGAATCCTCACTGTGGTCTCTTTTGTTTCCACCCTAGCAAAGTCTGTGAAGGTGAAAATCAAGCTCAATAAAAAAGAAGAGAAAGGCCGGGACACGGGGAAAGGCAAGAAAAGGCCCAATCGAGGCAAAGCCAAACCCGTGGTGAGCGACTTTGACAGCGACGAGGAGCAGGACGAGAACGTGAGTGCGTGCGCGTGCCTGGGCTCCAGCTCCCAGGCTGTCTTGGGGTACACGCTCTTCCTGGTGGTCATGCCGAGGACAGAGCTGCGAAATTTAGAACAAAGCGTCTAAAGCTGAGTGTGTCACTGTGGGAATGAAAAGCTCCGCCCTCAGTTTCCATTCCCCTTTTCCATCTTCTCGCGCACGGACGTGCAAATACAGTTTTCTTCACGGCTGGTTAATATTTTATATCTCTCTCACCCAGCTTGCTGTGAGTGTATAAGCAGATCAGATAAAACAGTGCTTACGGGGGGGTGGGGTGGGGGGGTGGCATTGTGATGTCAGAGCTTTCCCGCTCTGGTGCCCTGAGACCACATATCTTGAGGCTTTATTTTTATCAGGAAAATTTTAAGGAGCATGCCATCAAAACAGGCACCTTCCGATCTGAAGAATAATCAGTGTTTGTGTTAGCATCGTCACATAGGTGTGACTTGGGTCCTGGTTACTCTCCAGGTCCCTAGGGAGTGAATGGCAGGAGCTGAATTCAGATTTCGGGAGCTTTGTAAATCTAGCACTCAAGTCTAGCGCTGTTGCCCGTGCTGGTCTGGAAGAACAACAGACAGATGCTTGGCCAGTCCCCTCCATTAACTCTCGGCTTCCCTGCCCCCCAGCCAGCCCCTGCACAGTTCTGATTCTGGAAAGACTATTTTCCATTTTAGTATACATGTGAATTTGATTTCCCTTCAACACTTTGCTACTCCGGCCTGACTGGAAAGTTCTAGAATTAGGCTTGCTGTGTTTTAGTTACATTTTAAAACACCATGTTTTCTTGAGGTGGCTTACCAGTGAGGCGACATTCAGTGCGCGATCTTTTTCTTGTTGTGGGACAGTTTTCCAAAGCTCGGGTAAAAATAGAAACGGTCAGCCATAAACTCCAGAAACCAAAACAACAGACAGCGAGTACGGCTGGCAGGCATTGCCTGGGGGTTGTTAGTTCGGCACTCCCCATTTCGGCATAGAGAATGTCCATGCCTCTGTGGTGTCTGTCTTCCCTGAAGGAGACCGGGTGCATTCACTCTCTCTACCTTTCTTCTTTCAGGAACAGTCAGAAGCAAGTGGGACTGATGATGAGTGAGCGGTGTGGCCTTGAGCTGACCACGACAGAACTGAAGACTCCCTCCCCCCCCTTCTCTCCCTTCTCCCCAGTGAGTTCATTTGCCCTTTGGGCACTGGGTTATTTCTCCGTCCTCATTGTCATCTAGAACTAGCTTTAGAATAGTGCCAGACAAACATATGATATCATGGTGTAAAGAAAACAAAACAAAACACGTGTACACACACACACACACACACACACACACACACACACACACACACACACACAATCTCTTTTTCACTATTGTGACCAAATGGGCCTCAAAGATTCAAAGATTAAAAACAAACGGAAGCTTTTGATGGAAAAGACGTGGGTGGATAGTATATTTCTACAGGTGGGCCGGATTCGGTAGCAGTTGGATGTGCTTGCCTCTGTCATCTGCCCTGACGAGAAGATTGTTATCGTCCGCAGCGCTGATGATCGGGAGAAGCCACTAAAAGCCACTGGCTATTTTATTTTTCATCAGGCAATTTTCAAGATTTCCATTTGTTCAGTATTGTTTTTTGTTTGTTTGTTTGTTTTTTACACTGTGGTACATATAAGCAACTTTACTAGGTGACAAATGTACAGTAGTTAGATATCACCTACATATACATTTTTCCATTTTATGCTCTATGATCTGAAGAACAAAAAAAAAAGCTTTTTGACTTGTATAAGATTTACGTCTACTGTAAACATTGCAGAAGTTTTTTTTCTTTTGCTCTTTTGACAATGCTATTGACTATTTACAGTGTCTAGAGTGTCCCAATGGCTTCTTTGGTCCACCTGAGCTCCTGTGTTACCAATGTGTATGGTCTCCTTCTCCCTAAAGTGTACTTAATCTTTGCTTTCTTTGCACAATGTCTTTGGTTGCAAGTCATAAGCCTGAGGCAAATAAAATTCCAGTAATTTCAAAGAACGTGGTGTTGGTACTTTGCTAATAAACCGATAACTTACCTTGATGCTGTGGCCTCTTCTTTCTGTGAGTCCAAGGGCACTAAAACCTTTGGGTTTGATGTGGCATCTTCCTGCAGAGGGAAGAGGAAGTTATTGCTCCACAGATCACATGGGGAGAGGGGACATCTCGGAAATGATCTGGGTATGATGTTAAAGGCAAAGGCGACCATTGCTTTCCTAACTAGAAGAGAGGCTACTGCTGGTCAAGCCACATGGACAGTCAGCCTTATCTCATGGCTTAAATTGCATTCATTGGTCAGAAAATCTATAAAAGTCCATTTTTATGTGGAGATTGGTTCAGTGAATACTCGTATACCGTTCCCACTGAGATTTAACAACATTTTATGCTCTGTGCCCCCCCGTTTTAATAAGCTGTGAGGATGTAACTCACAGTGTCACGTGCTTGGCATACACTTGGCACAGCAGAATGGATTAACGTGTGTTTTCTCATAGTTAATGGACTAATCACCATCCTATTTCCCAGTGTCCTAAATGTGTGTGTTTGTTTTTTCCAATCATATGTCTTGATGTCTTTTTAAAATCCTCAAAAAGTCATCACAGAGATCGGCCCATCCTTTCCTGGGGAACTGCTGGCAGAGTCAAATGGAAGTTTCCTGTACCACTAGCAAGTGAATGAACATTTTTTCTAAGGAGCAGTTGAGGGTCCCCAAGATTCCGCTAGGTGGGATATCCAGTGCTTGATGAGAGCACAGTCTGAAGAAACTTCATCTTCTTGTCAGCTCTTGTCTGACTTTTCGATTACCCAGAACATTCCAGAATATCATATGTCTTTTCTTGGTTTGCTTGTGGCTATTACGGAGACTTTAAAGAAGATGCTGTATTGGGTTTCCTTTTGGAGAAATCAGTGCCTCTCCCCTCTGCTCTCATTTCTTTATTGTCTGTGCTTTTCTTGGCTTCATGGGCCTTGCTGGGAAAGCTCCCCAAACCATTGTTTTGATGGTTCAAGCCTTCTCTGTGTGAAGGCTGTGCTCCACTCCTCTGCTGCTGTATTTGCTGAACTCTTCTCCCTGAACCGGCACACTCATCCTGCCCAGTCCAGGAAGAAACCCTCTGTCCACTGTCTCCATGCCATATTCACTCCCCACCCATTAGTCAGTTAACAAGACCAGTGGTACCCCAATTCCGCATCATCCACCACTTCTATGGTAGGTACTGTGTCATCTCATGGTTACACTAAAAAGGTCCCATATTAATATATATTTTGTTAGTTACCTTTCTGTAGTTGGAGTTTTCCTGTGCCCTGCCCAGTCCGTAGCCGCTCAGACCCAAGTAAACACACAGAGGCTTATATTAATTAAAACTGTTTGGCCATTAGCTCAGGCTTCCTACTCACTAGCTCTTACACTTAAACTCAGCCCATTTCTGTTCATCTATGTGTCGCCACATGTTCCGTGGGTTTACCTGTGTGCCATGACATGCTGCTCCCTGGACAGTGAGCTGGCATCTCTTGACTTGGCCTTCCTCTTCCCAGAATTCTCCTTGTCTGCTCATCCTGCCTATACTTCCTGCCTGGCTACTGGCCAATCAACGTTCTATTAAAACAGTGTACAGAAGCATTATCCCACAGCACCCTTCTTTTACTACAGCAAGTGCTGGAGATACTGAACTCACCCACACTCCTGGAGCTGCCTGTCCACAATCCGTTCACCCTATTGTTCTGGCTAAGGCTGCACTTGACAGTGAAGCAGATGCCTGTGGGCAGGAGAGTGGCACTGAGGTCCTACAGTCGCCTTCAGAATCATGCCACCAGTGACCTCAAGTCCTCAGGCTAGGCCCCACCTGCTCAAGCTACAGCTACCTCCCAAAAGCACCTCCTGGGGAAATGTAATCCTTTAAGCCTGAGCCTTTGGGGGGATAGTCAAGGTCCAAACTACATCAAAGTAATGTCCTAAGTGTACTGTACTGTTTCCTGCTAGTTATTGTTATGCCTTTCTCTGCCTGCTTTATAAATTGGACTTTGATGCATTTGTAAAGTGGACCCTTTATATCAAAATCAGCACTGTTGATAATTTCAAGGGGTCTTAGGATATGTCCATGTGGGAAAGGATAGCTACCATATAGCTTCCTTCAGTCAAGTTCTCCAGGTGCACATTGTATGGAAGACATTCCTAAGCATCCCCCCCCCCCAATGTAAACACCGGAGCTACCCTTCCAGGGAGCTCCTGGGAGCCTTGCCACAGTTAGATTCTTCTGAGTTGGTTTCAATCTCCTCTGTGCTCCTGGCTTGGCACACGCCTTCACTGTCTCAACCTGAGTTAAGTAAGACCTGAGCTCAGAGCATGCTCCCAAATGAGGTGATTTTCATGTCTTCCCTTTAGAATGGGATATTCTGGTGGACTGATGTGTGCCAGATACAGCCGCACATCCTTCAACAGCACAAGGCTTTGGGGGAAACACAGTGTCATGCGATGTCCTCACTGTGTGGATATTGTAGATTATGCTTATGAAAATAAATGACAACAACATTGCCAGATACTTCCTTGGGTACCACTGTTGTCTATGGAAAATCATTACCCCATGTGTGGATGCACTGTGGCAGGCATGGCTAAGAAGGTTTTTAAGACCTCCTATTTTAAAGCTGCTTTTTCTTTTTTAAAGTATTTTTTTTCCTGTGGTTATGAAACTGAGATCATAACCCTGACTTAGAATCCAACGTGTGGGCTGTTCCTGGCTCTGCCCCAGACGTACTTGGATCTCAGTGTCCTCTGCAAAATGTGGAGTGAATTGTCTATAAGTCTAACCTTATAGTTCATGTACAGCCTTGTTATTAGAGGTTTCCACTATTTCAGGGAAAAAATTAACTTATAGATGTCATTAAAGAATACCAGAAAGATGAACAGAATTAAGAGGCAGTTTGCAAAGTAGTAGTTTTCAACCTTCCTAATGCTGGAACCCTTTAATACAGTTCTTCATGTTGTGGTGACCCCCCCCAACCATAAAATTATTTCATTGCTGCTTCATAACTGTAACTTGGTACTGTTATGAATCGTAATGTAAATAAATATCTGATATGCAGGATATCTGATCCAGGACCCCCAAAGGGGTCGTAACCCACAGGTTGAGAGCTGCTGTTGCAAAGGCTCATCAAGCATTGATGGTTTCAGAATTAATGTTTGGCAGAGTGTAGTTCCCTGGACCCACATAATCAGCATCACCTGGGGACATGGGACTCAGACTCATCCGAGACCCATGCAAGCAGAAACTCCTGGCGAGCCCTGGAACCCAGCACACCTTCCCTGGTGTGGGAAACCACAAATCTAAATCTATCAGATTGCAGGCAAATTTCTGTTCGTTCATTTCTGGGGAGCAGTGTGTGGCTACATTCGTCTTGATTGCTATTGCTGTTTCCAGTGTGAACACCCAGCACACTATCATTCTAAAGAAAGTCAGTGTATGTGAGAACGAATGAAAAGGCCGAAGGATTTCCTCTGTAACCTAGCTTTCCTGCCGAGTGTGTGACAGGAAACGGTCTTCATTTGTGTCTGAGTTCAGCCTCATTCTGTGATACGGTCTAATACTTGGGGGAAATATCTTCGGTTTGCTTAGCAGAAAGGTACAGAGTCTCTGCTTATGGATACAGCCTTTTTCCCCACAAGAATTTCATATTAATAGTCAATCTTGTAATATAGATACCTTGGAGGAAAGAACCAAGATGTTTCTTTGAAGTTTGCTAGAGCTGCATTAAGATAAAGTATGGGGTTTTTGCTTATTTGAATATACACTCATAGAGTGTGTGTGGCTCAGCATTGGGGATGTAGATCTGAATATACAGTCAGTGTGTGAGGCTCAGCACTGGGAGGTAGATCTGAATATACACTCATAGAGTGTGTGAGGCTCAGCACTGGGAGGTAGATCTGAATATACACTCATAGTGTGTGTGTGGCTCAGCACTGGGGACATAGATCTGAATATACAGTCAGTGTGTGAGGCTCAGCACTGGGAGGTAGATCTGAATATACACTCATAGAGTGTGTGAGGCTCAGCTTCGGGACGTAGATCTGAATATACAGTCAGTGTGTGAGGCTCAGCTTGGGGATGTAGATCTGAATATACACTCAGAGTGTGTGAGGCTCAGCACTGGGGACGTAGATCTGAATATACACTCATAGTGTGTGTGTGGCTCAGCTTGGGGACGTAGATCTGAATATACACTCAGAGTGTGTGAGGCTCAGCTTCGGGACGTAGATCTGAATATACAGTCAGTGTGTGAGGCTCAGCACTGGGAGGTAGATCTGAATATACACTCATAGTGTGTGGGCTCAGCTTGGGGACATGGAGACAGAAGAGTCACTGCCACAAGCTGGGGCTGTGTTGTGAGACTATGTCACCCAAACAGAGCCCCTAGCAACATAGTATTTTAAACCTAGAGAAAAATGTTCCTCAAAAGTGAACATTTGGAAGTCTAAACAGGAGTGTAAGTTCAAGGCCAGCCTGGGCTATGTACTGAGACACCCCAAACCCCATCTCAAAAAAAAGGAAAGAGGGAGGAATAAAGTATACTAACTATATTAATAGTTTCTTAGATTTTTTCTTTATCTTTGATTTTCTGTAATTTCTCATAAAAATTTAGAAATTGTCTTTTTTATCATGAATGGACCATCTTGCAAGAAATGTTCAAGATCCTTTGGGGGCAGGAGTGGGGAATAAAAGGCAGAGGCTGAGCTGTATGAAGAAAGATTCCCAAAGCTATCTTGGATCCAGTCCCCGCCAAATACCAACGACATGTTTACAGCACATAGAAAAATAAATCTTAAGATTCATATGAAGTCACAAAAGAATAGCAAAACAAACCAAAAAAAGAAGGAGGCAGTACTTCCTAGCTTCAGAATATACTAAAAAGCTGTAATAAGCAAAATAGCATGGTATTGGCATGAAAGCAACATGTGTTCTATTAATCTGAAAAGAAAGTCTTTAAAAACACTCCGTACTTACTGTTGATACCTGTGTGGTAAAGGTGCCAGAGCATGCCGTGGGGAGAGTCTCTAAGAAAAGCTGCTGACGCTCTCGGGCATGTACCTGAAGAATGCCACATCCTGTGATCGGTCTTTTCACAGTGGCAAGAAATGAAGTCAGCCTACACATCCGTCAACTGAAGAAAAGACAATGAAAACGTGGCACATGTATACAATGGGGTTTTAGTCATCTGTACAGAAAAAAATAATGAAATTAGCAGGAAAATGCATGAATCTGGAAGACATGAAGGGAGGTAACCCAGGCTCCCACCGTATGTTCTCTCTCTTATACAGATCTCAGCCTCTGTTAAATGTGTGTATCCAAGAAGGAGAGGAAAGGGGTAAAGGGCGGGAAACTAGAAGCAACCAAGGCTGGGGGGGGAGGCGACGACAAGAGAAACAGCGTGGAAGGAGGGACCCTGGGGGAAAGGACAGTGGAGAAGGACGGGGCAGGGAAGGGAGAGATGGGAGAATCAAACCAAAGGAAGTATGGGTGAAAATCCCATAGGGAAATCTGTTACTTTGTCAGCTAATTTAAAATTTAAAATTAAAAATAAGTAGTGTTGTTCACATGCAAAGGAATGGAATAGGCCTCTCTCACATATACAAAGATCAACTCAAAATGGATTAAAACTTAACTGTAAGAGCTGGAACTATGGACTACTTACTGAAAGACAGCAGAGGAAGTTTCTTGGCCTTGAAGTGGACAAAAGTAAGCCTGATCCTCACAGTACAGGTAACAGGAGCAAAGGAGACAAGGAAGGTTTCCGCAGAGGGAGCCTAGAGGACAGAATTGTGTTTGCAAACTGTGTATCTGAAAGGGACTACAATCCAAAATACATAAAAGATGCAGTACCGTGCCCCTCCCCATCTGGTCTGAGAGCAGTCTCGAGATCTGACAGACATCTCTCAGGAGATGTGGAAACTGCCAATCAGCATATGAAAAAGTGTCCAACATCATTTAAGTGATCAGGGAAAGACGCAAACCTCAGTAGACGCCTGCCTCTCACCAGTTAGGAAAAGACTGTTCAGGGTCGGCTAGAAATGGAGCAAAGGGGCATTTATGCAGTGTTGTCGGGAGCCCAGGTTAGTACAGCCATCACGGAAAACGGTGCAAGGGTCTTCCAAAAGTTCAAATAATTGCATATGTATGTATGTACATTTGTATGTTTGTATGTGTGTTTGTATACATGTGTGTATGTATGTATGTTTGTATGGTTCTATGTATGTATGTTTGTATGTGTGTTTGTATGCATGTGTGTATGTATATGTATGTATGTATGTATGTATGTTTGTATGGTTCTATGTATGCATGTATGGTTGTATGTAGCCAAAAGAAATGAAATCAGTTTGCAAAAGAGACATCTGCACTGCTTATGAACATCTAGGCCTCGATCTACGTGTATGTTCAAGGTGAATGGATAAAGGACATATTGCATGGTCCACCCATTCTGTATCTACACACTAGGAATACTATTAAGCCATACACATAATGTGTTAAGCTTGGTGGGCATTATATTCACTGAAGAGTGGTCTTGCATGTGGAACCCAAAGAATTTGGTAACAATTGAGAGTGAAGTAGTAGTTACCAGGAGCAGAGGGTAAAGGGGATGATGGGGTGTGAGGGAGAGGAGAAACAGGGTGAGAGGTGGCCAGATGGGGTTGGGGAAAAAAGATGGGGCTGAGGATTGAGTTTTACTATTAGGGCTAAGTACTATCAATTCTGTTAAAAATCAGGATAGCGGTGGTTAACAATGAGGAGTGGATGGCTAACACAGACTGTAAATGTCCTCATTTCAAAAAATGAGGTGTGCCTATGCTATCCTGGTTCCCCAGTATACAATACAGAAGCATATTAAAACATCACATTTTACCCCTTAAATATGCAGGATTACTATGTGCCACTCAAAAAGAAATTCAAAGAACCCAGAAAAGCAGCCTTAGAAGAGGATAAAATATTTGACTTCTCTTGTTCCTAATTAACCTGCCAAGACAACTAGTACAGAAGAGTAACATCAGCATACCTGATGATCATAGCATGTGGACAAACGGAATGCAGGATACAATTTGTTACAAGACCCGGAAGGCGCAAGCTGGGAAGGCATTGCTGGACGAGTTTGTTCTTTCCTTAGAGTGGTATGGCACTGTCGCAAAGCGGACCAACCCACAAGGTTGTAACTATGTATCATCATCTCTAGGGTAATTTCTGAAAAGGCTTTTAGAAGCATAAGGGACGAAGATGTAGTTGAGTGGCGCAGTGCTTGCTTAACATGCATAAGACCTTGGAGTTGACAGTCTGGAGGCTAAGATGAAAGCGTGATTGGTAGGCAGGAAGTGTGGAAGACAATAAAGAAAGGCCAAGGCTATGAAATAGGAATATTAATTAATTATTAATTCAACTATGGCAGCCCTCACTTTGAATGGCCATGGTCTAAACATACCAAATGACATGGCGAAGACTATCAGAGTGGACCAAGAAACAAAGCCATCCCCAAGAAACTCATTCCAAGCAAAGACACCTAAAAGGAGAGGATGGCTTCACGGCAGGCGTTGATTTAATACCAGAGAGAAACCCTCAGAACAAAGAGGGTTACCACCCATGGAGGAAGAGGACAATGGTGATGTAAATTCAAATTTGCTTCCTTTCTGTCTACTGCTGTTCATGCACCTTCCTCCCAGATTTACTAGTTTATAAACATGCAACAAATCTGCTCACTATAACAGGAAGGTTTTGGAGTTGCATCCTGTGAACACTTCTGTAATCAGAGTATTAAAGCAGGACATGGCGACACGTGGCTGTAATTTCAGGGGAGGCCTGAAGATCGGGTGTTCAAGGCCTGGCTCTGCTGCTTAGTTTGAGGCCCACGTGGGCCGGATGAAGGTCTGTCTCAGAAAGCAAAACAACAGAAGCTGTTGTTCAGAGCATTTTTCTCACCCACAGAGGCTTTCTCAGGGTCATTAGTCATCAGCCCCTCCTGACCATCCGCCTCAGGCAACTACTCACCTACGTTTTACCAACCTAGTTTTGCCTCTTTTGGCTTCATACACAAAGAGAATCACACATTGTGAAATCTCTTGTGGGTTTCTTAATGTTTTTGTGATTCACGTTGCATTATTTTTGTGCCTTTTGATTGCTAAGTAGTGTTTCATAGTGAATATTCCACAGCCTATGCAGCCTAGGTCTCTCTGGAAGGCAAGGGCTGGGAATAACATGGACTAACTGTGTAGTTCATTGAGTCCCTGGGGCTGCTGGGATTCAGGACAGGCGGCTCTCTTCCCTTGATCTTCTCAAGAAATTTTCTCACAGTAGCAGTTCTTGGGGAGGCTGGCTCTTAAAGGAGACACCAGCTCATTTGTGGTGAGGCTGAAACTTGGTTGTTTTTGCTGTGGTTTGGTAGAAATACCACTATTCGTCCCTTTAGTGGGCGTAAAATGTGCAGTGTTTGCAGTGAGTGTGACCCCCACCCCCAGGGAGATGTCTCCTAGAGAAGGAAGCCTATGACAATAATTCACACTTAAGGACTTCTAGAGGTTTCTTAACTTACAAATGTGTTTTTTGTTTTGTTTTTTTCAGGAGGTTAAGTTGGAGAAATGAAACTCCAAGACCACCCAGTACTACCCAGCACTACCCAGTACTACCCAGTACTACCCAGTACTACCCAGATTCAAGCATAGGCTCCTTATGCACAAAAATACCACTTCCAGAAAATTCTATCCACACTAAATGTCATCAAGACATGATACTTGAAAAGAGTCAGGAAGGGACTGCACAGTCCTCGAAGGTTCACTGTGCTCAGGGTGTCCAGTTCCCCGACACTTTCCATCAGTGGCATTTGAATCAGTCCAGGTGGCTTTCACATTTTTTTTGGAACATGTATGGGGGTCAAAGTCCTTACTACACCATGTGGATAAGGAGAGTTTCCTTAGAGTCCAGCACCAGCTTCCACAGTTTCCAAATGCTCTTTCACTTTTTCAAAGTGTTTTTGCAGTTTGTGTTTCTCCTTTGATGGTCTTTCTTTAAAACACACATTGAGGGTTTCCTATGCTAATTCCTGTGCTCACTGTTGAGCAAAGACCAGGACCCAGGATGTGTATGTCCTGTGTGTCCTCTGAAGTTATGAGGACCTCCTTTATTGCACACTCCACAATTCTATACCTTACCCTGGATGGAGAAACCTTCTCAATGGATGATCTGATATGGTAGCCACCCAGGTTAAGACTCCTGCGGTGTACCTTGTCATCCAGTAGGTACTATGTTTTTTATTTGCCTTATAAGGCCAGACAAGAGCTAAACCCAGTATCTGGTTTGGGTTCAGCAGTGGATGAAAATTACAGCCTTGTTTTACCTCAAAGTTGTCTCCCTTCAGTTGATTTCCAAAACAGCAGACAAGCCGTGCAAACAATGTGTGCTTGATAAGGACAGTGGTGTCCAAAGTTATGTGGCCCAGAGTGGGAGGCCCATTGGGTCACAGCAGCTCAGTCCCCAGAGGTTCTGAAAAGTGATAATAATAACAAGATACCCCATGCTTACATATTTATGCAAAAGTATTTAATACATACTAAACCCACAGGATTTTCTTACTTCTTTAAAAGACTTAATGTCCTTCAGTCTATGATGCTGTGATTTCAACTGGCAAGAGTTTTTTTTTTCTTAGAAATAAAACAATAACTTGGTTATTGTTGATGGTGCTGTAGAGTCCATACAATATCTTTTCTTCATACCTTTATATATACATGGTAGCACACACATTCTGGAGAGCAATACCATCAGCCAATGAAGAGCACACCATTCTTTGCCCTTGGTGACTGACTATTCCATTGCGTCATTGGAAGTTACCAAATCTGTTCCATGTGGATATTCTGGTTGCTAGCCTGTGTCTGTTATTACTGACAACAAAGGATGCCATGAATAGGGTGACAGCCAAGTGTTATAGATGTAGAGGGGACCGAGAGGGTTTCTTTGTGGTTGGGGAAGAGGCATGTAGAATGGAGGATAGGAAGCAAGGTTTAAAGCTGAAGACCCCGGGCAAGTAAAACTGTTGTTGGCATCTTAGTCTGGTTGGACCATAGGGGGGGAAAAACTTTCCAAATGCCACTGGCAAAATGGCATGAGCATACTCAAGTTTCAAGTAATCAGTGAGAAATGTCTGCCAGGAAGCAAGTATCAGCTGCATCAGAATTACCTGAAGGGCTTGTGAAGTCAGATCGCCAAGCTCCGTCCATCATAGAGTTACTGCTGTTTCAGGCATGGGGCCAGGCCTGAGAATTCCCATCTCTGAGATGTCAGCAGTGACCTTATGCTGGCCTCTGGGCCACGCCTTGAGAATGACTGCCCCAGACTAGAGATGACAAACTAGTACTCTTTAGTTACATTTGGCCAGCATAGCATTTTATTGCATTACACGTTGTCACGAACATTTAGAAGCTAAGATTTCACCTAAAAATCCAGACTCGACATTCTGTTGGAAAACCGGGGGCTGTCTCGGCCTGGAAGTACGTAGCAGAAACTAAACTTTCTGTTTTCTGCTTCTTGATTATAGAGCTCTCATTAACATTCAGCTGCCATTCTATGCCCTGGGTCTCCTGCAGCTCTCTTGGTAGCTGCATCATGTTCGTTCTGGCTCTGGGGCTCTGCACATGAACTTGTATTATCTGGAATAGTCTTACCATTGCTACTACTGCAGCCTGGCTTTCACTTCTTCCTCTGCCTGCAGCTGAGATGCCACTCTCTCTCCCATGAGCTTGGCCCCTGTCCCTGTGACAGAGCATAAGTATTTCTCTGTATTGTTCCCACAGTGGCCCAGAACTTCTCCATCAAAGCCATCACATCCCCCTGTCTTGTCTCCTGGTCATATGAGTGGATGAAGATGTAACACAGCTAGAGTGTAATAAATGATATTATCTGGTCTTTGCCTTTCCCCCCTAGGTGATGCCAATGGAATCTTAGTTTTTATTTCTAATTTTAGCAGCAATAATAATAAAAAATGTAAATTTTAATTAAATTTCCCTTAAAACTGCCATTTAGGAAGAGAAATAAATTTAAACTCCTTAATTATTTAAAATACCCCACTAGCTTGTGCTGCAACTCAGGCTTTATTACACTTGGCTTGAAAAAAACATGGCATTATCCAGATACACATTCTTGGGGTTCATCTGTGACTATCATTTTATTTGTTAAATCCAATAGACAGTCGTGTCCCCACAATGCTATTCTGGAGACTGCCAGAACTCAATATGAAAAGTTTTAGAGTGTGTGCAGGAAGGGTGAGAAGAAACAGTGAGAATCCCATATTCACACTGACACAGACCTCACAGTAGTCCCTTGGGGGAGTTGATTGACCTAAGAGAAGATATGGACATAGGTGAGTGCAGCTTAAGATAGGAAGACACACCTGTCCACATGGCGGGTGAAGATGCCACGTAAGAATGCAGAGACAAATACAAATCCTTTCCAGTATACATGGATGGCATCCGATCTGGTCACGCAACACAATGTAAAATGGGAGTGTTCTACAATACAAGTAGTTAAAAATTCTTCTCAAGTACATTTGAAAGAATATCTCATCAATCCTTGTTTGAAGTGGGAAATGTTTGAGAAAGTAACCCAGCTTAAGAAATATGAGCACAGCATGAAGTCCCTGAGCAGCAGAATTTGGGAGGCAGTTTTTGTCAGGAGCTGGGCCGTGACCTTCAGAGCTTTCTGAGTTTTTCTAGACCTGACTTTTCTCATCTGTAAGCTAAGTAATAACAAATGATCTTCAAGTCCTTTCTGGTATTATCATTCAAATGAGTGTCTATATTCTAATTTTTATACTGATTAGACGTCTGTGGTTCATGCAATTAGTTTTGCTATGCGCTTCACAATAAATTTGGGCTTTGGAGTCCTTCATTATGCACAGAGGTAGTCGTGTCTTATTGCTTAGGAGACAAATGAAGTGTCAACCTTATTCTGAGGAAAATGATTAGAGATTATGTGTCTAGAGGGGAAGAGTAAATCTTATTCAAAAGTGAAATAATAACTTCAGAAGGTCCTGGAAAGACTTTGAAATATTCTTTGGAGTCAGATAATTAAAGAAAGATGATTGCATGAGTAAGTTCCCAAATGCAGTGGAAAGAGTTGATCCCTGTGTCATTAAATAAATGGTATTTCATTAGTCCTTAACAGGCAAGGGCTGGGGGAAGGAGGAGAACATGCTGATAAATTTTGTTAAACGTATTAGATCCTAAGAAATGACATTTAATATATTTCAGGGAAAGCCACTGGTAATGAGCATGACCATAATTTGCATACTTCCTTGTTTATTTCACACCTACTCATCACCACTGAGGGTATTTGCATGTAAACCATGCACTGGCAAATGGAATGAAATAAGGCAGGCGTGAGGAGGAGGTACCCTCCCACAGGAACTCCCTTACACAGCTCCACTTATCAATGGTACTTGGGCAGTCAGAGAAGATAGTGCTCAGTGACATTCATGGGCAAAGACAGCGTCACTCTCTGGACAGAAAATAGCTCTCCAAGCAGCAAGCTTACAGGGACAAGAAACCCACATTAATCTGGCATATTCAAAAGTCAGCTGTTTCATGGAAATTTGAGAATGAAAGAAAAAGTTCCAAACCGTGAGACACTCTAGTATAGTCATTCTGGTTCCGGGAATGTCAAGACGTCAATGACAAAAGGAAGCATAGGGCCCAAGGCAAGCCCTGGGGCTGAACCCCTGTTCAGGTAGCCGCAGACCCTGGGTTATTGTTTCACAATTGGTTTAGCATTCTGAGCAATTCCAGCTGAGAGTGTAAGGCCTGTCTTAATCAGTGTTCTACTGCTGTGAAGAGACACCATGACCATGGCAACTCTTATAAACAAAAGCATTTGACTGGGGCTTCCTTATAGTTTCAGAGATTTAGTTCACTATTGTCATGGCAGGAAACTTGGTGGCACACAGGTAGACACGGAACTGGAGAAGTAGCTGAGATCCAAAGGCAGCAAGAAGAGAAAGTGACACTGGGCCTGGCTTGGGCTTTTGAGAGCTCAAAGTCCACCCCTCTGTGACACACTTCCTCCAACAAGACCACACCTGCTCCAACAGTGCCACACTTCCCAATGCTTCTCAAGTAGTGCCATTCCCTGAGGACTAAGCATTCAAACACAGGCTCCGACATAGGCCATTCCACCCATCACAAGGGCCCTGCAGCAGGAAAAGCTAGGGATGTGTGTGTGTGTGGGGGGGGGGTGTACAGCTAGGGTGATGATGAAGGTCTTGAGTACATTGAAGCAAAATTTTGGTGAGTTCATCTATATAGAAAAGAAAATGGCTAGGCCTGGTAAAATAAGCCTATCATTTCCCTAGTCTAAAAAAAAAAAAAAAAAAAAAAAAAAAGCATTCTAGAGATACAGCTCAGTAATACAGTACTTGCCTAGCCTGGTGTAGTGACTCACTCCTGTAATCCCAGCTCATGGGGAACAGAGGCAGGCAGCTTTCTGTGAGTTCAAGGTAAGCCTAGTTTACAGAGTGAGATACTGTCTCAAAAAGAAACAAATTCAAACAGGGAAAAAACAGCAACAGAAAAGGAGTTACCCCACATCCACATCACCATGGGACAGACTCACATCCATGGTCCTGCCTTCTTACATTAGTTCACTGGCCAAAGATGGGCAAGGAGTTCATTTTATTTAGGAGAGAGAGCGCCACGGTGCACTTGGAGTCACATAATTCTGGGCTGAGTCATGTGAATGAACTGAGTGAATGAAGTCACATCCAGGAAGTCTCTGGCTGGCACTCTGTGAGCGTTAGCTTGCTCCTGTCACAGCCTCACCCCAATCTATAAGTGGTAGACCTTACAAGCAATACTTTTTTTTTTCTTTTGAGGCAGGGTCTCACTATGTCACTATGTAGCCCTGGCTGGCCTAGAATTGACTGTGTAGACCAGGATGGCCCCAAACCCACAGAGATCTAACTGCCTCTGCTTCCTGAGTGGTGGGTTGAAAAGCATGAGCTGCCATGCCCAGTCAATATTTTTCATTTTCACTAGAATGTTTTAGAATGATCATCCAGGACAGCGTGCACACACATGGAAAGAACGGTTTGTACCTGGTAGCTTCTCATACTAAAGTTTCTACTCTTAAGCTTCAGGAAATGCAGCAAGCCAGTCGCAACTGTTTAAATAGGCAGGAGGCCACCAGCCTGAGGCCATCTGTGTATTTGAACTTCTGTGTAACCAGAACTGCAAACTAACCCAGTAAATAAGTAAACCAAAACCCAACTTAACAGTGTAGTTGCATGCGTGCGTGCGTGCGTGCGTGCGTGCGTGCGTGTGTGTGTGTGTGTGTGTGTGTGTGTGTGTGTGTGTGGTGTGAAACAGCCTGATTTTAACTAATCGCAAACAGTTGACATTAGCCAATCACAGACAACCAACCCATCAAACCATACCCAAATTAGGCAGAAATACAGTTGCAGCCAATCCGGCAATTCCTCTTAGCCTTCTATGTGTGGC